CCTAGAGTGGAACTGCCTGAAGGAGAGTCACCAAAGAGGACTAAGAAGGAAGACTCCACTACTTCCACTTCTTCTCAGTAATTCTCTGCTCCTCTGACTCCTCTCCTGCTGCTCAACACTCAGCTACCATAACGTACAGTATTGTTTTTATTAATTTTTGTACTAGTTAATTATTTTTTCTTACAAGTAATAATGATACTCTGTATCTTAGGAGTTTTAATGCACATTTATACACTTTTTATTACCATTTTATATATTTCTCATTGTTAAGTGGAACCTGGAACGGATTACTCCTATAATGAACGAAAGCTATAACGAACGAGGGCCTAGAACCAATTAGATTTGCTATAGCATACCCAAAGTAGTCCCCCTTCGAGATACATAATAATAATAATAATAATAATAATAATAATAATAATAATAATAATAATAATAATAATAATAATAATAATAATAACAATAAACGTGCGTAATATTACCAGGAGGAAGATAGCGTAGAGGATGTCAATAATTATAACGATGGCCAGGGTGAAGGAAATGAGGTATGATGAACAGTTGACCTCATACCAGAGGTTGACTTCAGCTCCGCATGACACGATTATCAGACTCACGGCAATGTTACCTGGTAACATACACAGGAACATTTCTAATAATAATCTCGACAGTATTTACAGATTTCTTTTGATTATATTAATAATTCCCAGTCCTTTTGGGACAGTTTTGTATACCAGGACGTTGTTCTGTACCTTATGTAATGTGTAGGTAGAATTACTGGATAATATGTGAAGTAAAAGGACACAAGTGCAACTAATGTGACATTTTTATTGTGGCAACGTTTCGCTCTCCAGGAACTTTGTTAAGCCGTTGACAAAGCTCCTGGAGAGCGAAACGTTGCCACAATAAAAATGTCACATTACTTACACTTGTGTCCTTTTACTTTACCTTGTATAATGTGACAGGATACAAGTATTGAGCCTAGTACACAACAAAGTTATAATTTCAGATATTCCAACGTATACAAGAGCGCCTGTTGTCTTGGTAAGAGAGATGAGTCTTCAGGGAAGCTGGCGGAGGGCGAGTGGTTGAAGCAGAATATTTATTTTATACATTATTTTATAACCAAGTTACCCGCGGCATGTTTCATTTTTTAAGTATATAAAATGTGTTAAATTTGGTTTTAATATCTGATGAATGTGTGAGGAGTGTAGGTGACGTCATGAACCGTAACATAATAGGGATGTAAGCAAGTTTGCATGTTCCATTAATTTTATACTAAATTCCTTTTGAAATTCTGTGTACAGAAGAGACCTGATTTAGATATAAATATTGCATAAAATGCTATTTTGCCTTCAATTAAGAATTTATCATTGCATGTTACTGACACCTTGTGGCAACAGATATTTCTTCTTGACACGAAGTTAATTATGTAGTTGAATAAGAGTCTTTGTGTTCTGTGGTGCGAGAATTTGCTGGTGATTTTTACTGTGGAATAAGTACTAGAGATCTAAGAAATCTAGAATATCACCGCATTGCAATTATTATTATAATAAAAAAGAAGCGCTAAACCACAAGGGCGATACAGCAACCGCATAGCAAAACACCAACCGCGTCCCTGTCCGTCTGTCAGAACACGAGAAAAGGATAGTAAAGTCTGCATCAAAAGTTTCTGATGCTCAGTTATTACTAGGTTCTGAGGATGAACCAGGTTCCGAGGAACAACCAGGTTCTGAGGATGAACCAGGTTCTGAGGAAGAACCAGTTCTGAGGAAGAACCAGGTTCTGAGGATGAAAACCCGGGTTTTGAGGATGAAACCAGGTTCTGAGGAAGAACCAGGTTCTGAGGATGAACCAGGTTCTGAGGAAGAACCAGGTTCTGAGGATGAACCAGGTTCTGAGGAAGAACCAGGTTCTGAGGATGAACCAGGTTCTGAGGATGAACCAGGTTCTGAGGATGAACCAAGGTTCTGAGGATGAACCAGGTTTCTGAGGAGAACCAGGTTCTGAGGAAGAACCAGGTTCTGAGGATGAAAACCCGGTTCTGAGAATGAACCAGGTCTGAGGATGAACCAGGTTCTTAGGATGAACCAGGTTCTTAGGATGAACCAGGGTTTTGAGGATGAACCAGGTTCTGAGGATGAACCAGGTTCTGAGGATGAACCAGGTTCTGAGGATGAACCAGGTTCTGAGGAAGAACCAGGTTCTGAGGATGAACCAGGTTCTGAGGATGAACCAGGTTCTGAGGATGAATGTGGAGAAATTTTCTCCAGGAGGGGGGTATCAGCCCCCTTCAGCCCCCTTCAGCCCCTTTCAGCCCTGAGGGGCCACTCAGAAGGGGCGAGCGTCTTGTTTACTGCTAGAGTGAGTAATTGATCACAGATGTCGTATGCGTAATCAAGTGACCTCCGCTCCTTGCAGGGGTGTTGCAACGTTTATTTTTATAAGAACAACATCTCTTATTTCCAGGGGGCAAAAAAATTTGGAAAATCCTGCTCCCATTTTT